CATCGAAGACAGGATCAACATCATTAAAGACAGTACAACTGTAGGGATAGATATACAGGGGAAAAAGATTAGTATGCTTAGATTTGCAGATGGTATAGCAATATTAGTATCTAGCAAGGAGCAGAAAAGTAAATAATAGTTCAACAAAATGACTGGTATGCAAAGGAAGAATAAGTAGGGAAAGGGCGAATATAAAGATAGGAGTTGAAAAATTAGAAGAAGTGGCTGACTTTAGGTATCCGGGAAGTCAGATAATTCAGGACGGAAGCAGAGGATAGCCTAGGGTCGAGTCGCCTTCAATAAAACGAAGGCACTTCTTTGCTCGCGAATGGTTAATTGAGAAATTCGAAAGAGGTTGTTAAAGGTGTATGTTTGGAGCGCGGCGCTGTACGAATGCGAAACACGGACATGGGCGCTGCAAAAACGTTAGGAGCGTTCGAAATGTGTGTTTTTTTTTTTTGTTTTCGTGGAAGAGGGGAAATTTTCAAAAGACACCCAGCCGTCCGCACGACTGAGTAGTGTCGGATTCCCGAGGAAGGTGTCCTCGGACCTACCGACTAAAACCCCTCTACCTCAGGCCGTTCTAGGACCTATCGGTTCAGGTCCTCTTCAGCCGTGTGTTTTCTGTTTTAGGTGATTGTCTAAATGTGGTGTTACAGGTGGATAGAGAAGGTTAGAAATGAAGAGGTATTAGAAACAACAAGGAGGTAAGAGAACTCTATGGAAGTCAATAAGAAATAAGCGAGATAGTTTAGTAGGATACCTTCGCAGGCATGAAGGGCTAGTCAGAAACATATTAGAGGCAGAAACGAGAGTTAGGAGGGGTAGAGGTAGACCTTCATTGGATTACTGTTTGCTAATGGTTAAGATTGTGGGTTGTTCTAGTTTTAGGGAAATGCGAAGGTTAGCTCAGGATAGGAAAGAGTGGAGATGCGTCTTAGGACTGACGACCTTATGGCGATGATGATCGAATTTATATAGAAATGCATTTGAACATAACAATTTATTGTATGCAAGCAAAAGCTAGTAGATACCTTATATTTCCTTTGTGTACGTGTCATTTTTTATAATTTGTTAATTTAATACATGGATATGTGTTGTAATTCACCTCGCATTATGCTCACATCAAATTAACTTAATTTTTCTCCTTAGAACAGTATTAATTTTCGGCGGTAACATAATACTCCTTCGGATCTAAGTGGTACCTGACACGCTACATGATCGATAAGATGCCCTGTGCGACATGTGTCGGTTTTTTTGTTATTGGGAAGGTAAAATGAACAATAAATAGACCGGCTGTTATGTTTTTCTTTTTCAACAAGTTATTGATCCTGTTTTGAATAAACGTATGTGTCAATGTGGAATACGGCTGCTTTTTATTCATTTTCCTTTCATTTCATAATAACAAAAGAAAAAGTTTCTTTTGAACGAATGCATAGTGTTGTTTTAATAAAAAGCAACGGCAAGATAAATACCCGGAAAAGTATTGAAAAGGGTACAGTTCAAATAATGCCTGAAGAAGTCTTTGTATCTAAAATTAGTTCTTGTGCGTAAAAGACCTTTAGGCACTATTAGTTAGGAACATATTTGCGAAATACTAGAACATTTACAGTAGGTTTTGAAAGAAGACCAAGCGGCATTTCCTAGAGGTTTAGATCATTATTTTAGCATTTGGGAGTTCGGGTTTTTCTGTGGTTTTCATGGATCACTTAGGTAAACGCTGAGGCAGTAATATTCAAAATGTAATCTTTAGTTCTCTTCTGTCTTCATTTTGCCTGTCTCATCTTTCTCACCCGAACCACCAGCCATCCGTTCCCACTATTCCTAGAAGCCCTACCTTCCGGCGTAGCCCGGAGAGACTTCCCGCCCACCAGCATTAATAGCTGGTGGGAATGAAACACCCAAAAATAATTTTTTCTTTTATTGAATTAAGTTGATATCATTAGACGTTCAAATGGTCAGCTAGTTGTAGAGTATCGTAATTTCAGATGAGATAACTGCACCGAATTACATTACATAACTACCTACACAGGAAGCATAGATACTAGCACATTCTCTATTCTTTAGTAAAAGGTAGTAGATTTATTCTATAGTAAAAAGCTTTTATTTTGTTTTCATACATCTTTGGTTTTAAAAAAACTTTAGTTGAAGTGGGAACCGTACATGAGCGCAAAAGAAAAAGATTTTTGAATTCGGCCTATGTTTCGAGGTATCACTGAAAAAAGATTTGCAAGCGTTCGAGCTAGGGCGTTGAGAGTAAAATTTTAGTAGGAAACGGAAGCTGTGCAGAGCCAATATTGGACAGTCTGTACTACTTCTTGTAAGAAATGCAACATACACAGTAGCAAAGAAGGCCACGCCTTTTAAATGGCACGTTCTTAGTGATGAGCAAAATTGGTCTTGGACTTGCAGTCTTCGTCTTGGTCTTGATCCTGAAGTCTTTGTTTTTGGAAAATGCAAGACCAACACTGTCTTTATACTGGGTAGACCAATACCAACACCAAACGAATAATATCAAGATTAAAACAAAGGCCTAATATGCAAGACCAAAACCAAATGTGCAAGACGAAGACCAAATACGCAAGCCTAGACGAAAAGTTATTACTTCCCGTGGATTTATGATTTAAACTATTTGAAGTAAATTTAAAATATTATTTTCCTGGAACAAAATACCCGCAGGAATGTCCTTGAAGTAAGTGTTCTTTGCTCGTATGTCTGGATAACACATGGTTGAAATATAGAGACAAACTAATCTTTTTTCGATACCTTTACTTCTTTCAAATAACTTTTTTGACGTGACAACGTTTTATAATTCGATGGAGCCGGCTGCACACACGAAAAAACATGACTCATGCAGCGTTACCGCGCTCTGAGGCGTTCCATTTAAGGCTTGAAGTGCAAGGGAGAGCGCGGAACGAGCGACAAAGAGGCAGAATCGGCCTCCGCGTTCGACATCTGTCTCTCTCCTACTTGAGTGAGCGATGCGTCCGCGTGGACAGCTGCTATACAATAATACATTTCCATTTACCTCCTTCTCTATATCCATACAAAATATCTATCAAACAAATAAAATTAAAATTTTCTTTTGAAAAATGAAACCATTCCATCAGTATTTTCTTATGACGTTGTCACGTTCAACTATCGTCAGCAAAACCGACTTTACAGACAACCGATTTTTTATCTGGAGTTAGATGACATCCTAGAAAATTCAGTGGCTTCTTCTAGCTATTTATCTTTAAAGTTTATGTTGTCCTTATCCTTTCGCTTCTCCTGCATATCAAAATTTTGTTTACATTCATTCCGTACTCTTCTGTCAATATTATTTAAGGAAGTCGCCTCCTCCTTGCTATGTAGCGTAGGAAGTGCCTCCGTAGATAGAAGCAGGAGACGAATAAATCTAAAGAAATCATTATCAATATGTCAAAGTACAAACGGTCGTCAACATGAAATTGGAAATCCTAATAGCAGAAATCTCTTTGAATTGATCATTGCTCGGATTAGTATTCAAGTAAGATATTCTTTGATAGGGAATTGGTAGCTCATCTGATACAAAAGCTATTAGTCTAACTAACTAGTCAATCGCAAACCCGGGAATATAATAAGGACACAGGACTAGGACACTATGTTTTGATTAATTTCTTATGACAAAGAAGGAGACAGGATTTATCATTATTGCTTCTGCTTTTATAAATTGATTTTTAAGCTACTCTAATTTTCTGTAGTAATTTTATCTTATTTCATAACAATATATAGGGGAAGTACGGACAAAATGACAGGGTGTTTTGATTTTGAATCATATATCTTTATTTATTGTAATTATAATCAGTCTCATACATTGACAATCATCTTAGGTTCATTGACTACTAATAATACAGTCTCTTAATTGAATAGGAACTATATCAAATTAAATATTAAGAAATAAATGGACGAATCAAAAAACACTAAATATGGGTATAATGATGTACCAAAATTTTAAGAACAAAGTTCGCAAATAAGTCTTTTAGGCTTCTTTGAGAAAACAACTTGACCAGCTTTCTCCTGGCTTAGACCGCGAATAAAGATTATTGCAATAAATGTGGGGACAGACTTCTTCATCCTCATTTTCGGCAGCAAATTCTTCATTATAGGAGCTAGAATCGATAGTTTGAGCAAATTGACGCTGCCTCTTTGGTATCTGTCTTTTTTCTGCAGCTTTAATCTCAGTGCTTTTAGAACTAGGATTTTCCTATTATGTTTGCCATCATCAAAAGGCACTTTTTTTATCTCTCTTCTTTTTGGTGAATCTTTTGGTCTATTTTTTGCTTCTTCTATATTTGGAGTTGAAGTTAAAGGCCTATGTCCTTTGACAGGTTTGAGTTTCCTTATTCCTTGGCCTCGAACGAATTGCTCCTGCGGCACTGGCGAAATTATTGCAACTGTAAGAGATTCCTTCACATCTGGTACTAAATCTGCATTCTCAGAAACACGTCCTATCACATCGGTACGATGTAGTTACTCTACTACGACACACTATGCCGTTTTGTCCAGCGTATAGATATGTCATTTTGCCCAAATGTACACAACAAACATTATAAATCATTTTTAATTAAGATGCCCTGTGCGACATGTGTCGGTTTTTTTAAGTTTATATCATAAGTCTTCAATTTTAGTAAATACAATATACAAATATAACACAAAACTCACCAAAAATCCAAATAAATCCATAAATAAAATAAATTTTTATGGACACGAAACACGTTCCCACTCGTAACTTCAAAGAGACTGACCCAATCGCGTTGGGTTTCTTGCAGGATTGTAAAAATGACCCCCGTCACGTGTTGTTATGTTCGTGACCTCGCTACAGCCCGCCAAATTTTAAATAAACCCTCTATGTCGTTTTGTCCATATATGCCATTTTGTCCGTGTTTCCCCTACTTGTAATCTTAAAATTTGTAAGTACTGATTGAAGTTTTTACATGATCTAGTGATCTTATGTTTAATCAATAATAATATGTCGTGATATTGAGCTTTTTTTACATAAATAATCATTTTATAAATTTTACGTATTTGCCATCATTTCCCACTGAGATTTTTTAACTTGAGCACCATTTCCGTATGTTAGATAAGACAGCTGTTGTAGTTTTCACAGTCTTCATACTTCCTTAGTAAAGGAATTAATGGGGTAAGCAGTACATAATGAATAATTAACAACTTATACTAAAAACGGTTCTTTTCCTAGTATAATTTAAATATTAAAACAGAAAATGTTACCTACATAAAAGACTATGAACAAAGAAGTTCTGTGAACCAGAGCGCAACATATTTTACCTTCAAGGGAATTCTATATAAGGAATCACCTGTGGGAACTTAACGATTTCAGGTAAGTGAGGGGTTTTATTATTTGGTCAAAAGCTGAAGACATACAGGCGACTCTACACTAGATCCACCATTTCAAATGAACATGGAACTTTCGCATTACGTCAATATTTGACACCATTATGAAATTATGTAGACCGATCTCTGAAGTTTATTATTTGTTAGGATCCTAGACCAGTGTCATTATGGAATGAAGTAATGGAGGTAGCAGACTGGGTGAATTTTTGTGTTAGCGGGCAGATCAAGGATCGAAAACGCGTTGGTACGCTGCGCGATGAGCGACCACGCATCTACTTCAGTATTGTCAGTTGTTAAACATAAAATATAAACGAAATCGCCTGGCATATGCATCAAATCGGATGCGCACTGCTTTAGTGCGCAACGTCCGAATGAACAGTACTTGGTAGCTCTCATACGGATCGCGAAACATTTCTTATAATACCTAGTAGATGTCACGGCGACAATTTAAAATCGTTGAATGCGAGTGGCCAGTTTCGGACGTCACATTGTCGATTTTGATTTGTTCTTCTTGGTTCTCCCAAATTTAATGTCAAAGATCTCTGCAAGTAGCAAACGACGATGATTCATTCAACTTGCAACATTCGAGCTATTTGAACCTTGCGATACAATTTTAGTTTAAATGATTTTTTGTTATTTGAATGTTCGGAAATGAAGAGTAGTGTTTTGAAAATGGGAATGGACTAGAATAATAAAAACTGCAAATAGATCATTATAACAAGTACCGGGAAAGTTATAAACAAAGCTTGCACGATGTAAACCAAAAGCACTTAAAAAAAATATAGTCTAACATCAAATCATGAGAATGTGAAGCATTAATAAATATTGAGAAACAATGTAGGCGATGACATTTTCAATTTTTAATAGCGGTTAATGTGAAATATTAATGTGAAAATTAATTTTCTATTTTCCATCCAATGAGGGAAAATTTTTGTTGCTGTTGTCACACTTCCGCCGGGAATCGAATCCGAAATGTCATAGTGTTTCATATATTTAGTATATATAGGGTGTCCCAGTTATAATAATTAATATTTATACCAGAGATTCCTACGGACATTTGGAACATAAAATGTTATAACACTTTTGACTTTTGAAACAAAATAAAAAATTATAAAATTATAACAGTTTTGATGCCGGCCCTGCACAATCACAAATTAATTACCATTGCCAGCTGATCGTAGAAAAATTCACCTTCAGTAGATCGGAATCAGCTGCTTTTTGGGGTAATGTTATTGTTTATGTTTGGTATTAAGTTACGGATCGGCCCAAGAAAATGCACTCGCGTTTAGGTCCATTAAATGACTGAAAACTACGTACCTATCACAATCGAAAATCCCATGATCGTAAACTAAAGTGGACCTAATGTAGCCCATGACGTCGAGTATTATGTTATTTTAAATAGAAAAGAAATTTTAACGACTACGGAATAGTTAGAAGTGGTGTACAAACAACCCTCACCACCCAGCCTTTGATAAAAGTTTATAACATAACGTACTAGTGTACGAAAACAAATGTATGGTTATGGTTGTAAAAATTGAGACAAGATGCAGACCTACTTTGACCATTCACATGTGTTAAACGTTAGTTTTGCCCGACAGGGCTCATTAACCCCACGTGGAGTAATACAAGGATGTGTCCAAAAGGACCAAGTTGGTTATTTTGTTTTCTTTAAATGTAAAAAGCTAAACATTGATATAACCTCGTATAATTACACTGCTGGAAGTGACTGGAATAAATCACACAATGTCGTAGTTTCTAACAGGTTGTTCAGTTTGCTTTGGATTGTTGTGGAATTTACTTGTTTGTTAGTGTTAGTTTATTTATTTAGTGGTCATTTCATAAAAGACTATTACAATAATGACAATTAGCAGTGTGATAGTGCATTCTAGTGAGTTCTTATTCAACCGTCAGCTGGTGGTGAGTTACGTTACCAATGCCTATGTCGTATAATTCGAAATATTCCCGGTATCTGGATCAAAATTCGCAACAACTGGGTATGCCGCTGTCAGTGTTGCATTGAAGCGAATGGCAGACAATTTAAACATTTTTTAAAAAAGATACGCATTTCTTTTTCACTTTTACCTTTTTTTTACAAGGTGTAAGTGCATTCGGCTTCTTTCCGGTAGGTATTTGTTACATCCCCACAAGATCAGCTGAGTGACGTTAGTCGCCTACATCCAGGCCCGTAATGAAACAAATTGTACGTTCAAATTTGCAAAGACGATTTGTGAGCTCAATTGTCACTGGATTGAAAAATTGTATAACGCTTTTTTGTTGTATTTTGTGTCAGGAAACCATGTTTTTTTTTAATTATTATAAATGGGACACCCTGTATAATTACATTAGTAGAAAAAATCGACGGATCTGTAACCTTGTAGGCACGGTTTGTAGTGGCTGTTGTTGTCATCTCTCGTGGCTTAGTGGTCAGAACGTTTGTACGTAAGGCCAAAGGTCCCGGGTTCGATTTCCGGCGGGGATGTGACAAAACAGCAATAAAAATTTTCCCTCATTAACCTCAGGTAGTTCGTAGTGGATAGAAAATTGAAAATGAGTTTTTGCATTAATATTTAATAATATAGCTAACTTCCGACCTAATAATACACTGGGTTCGTACTTGCGTTATTGCGAACTTTAAATCTTCCTTTAGCATCAAGGGTGAAGTCGGTAGATTGTTTTGTTAAAAATGACTTGCAGTACATTATGGTATGAATTTTCTATGTAGTGATGTTGAGAACATTGCAACACTTGAAAACAATTAATGGAGAGCAACGTGAATTGCATTTTGACCGTAAAAATAAATCAATCAATTTTTTGCCTGGGCTAAATTTTAAAATACGTCACTGCTTACAGACGTAATTCGCGTAATTTTAACTAGGTACAACTTTTTGACAACTGCTTCGAAATATATCGTTCTTCAGATCATTTTAAGCAAATAGTTTATGAACATGTAGAGGTATGTAAGGTACTACATAGTATAGGGTTGTTCGGAAAGTCATTTCGTTTTTTTTTGTGGAAATGAAAGGCAGTTTTCGTATAATAAACAAATACTTTATTAAATTATATATTGACCGTTCTGGTCCAACACCTTTTGCCATCTTTCTGGTAGTAGCATAATTCCACGCTCATAAAATTTTTGGTCTTTGCTGGCAAAAAACTGATCGAGGAGGTTTTTGACCTCCTCATTTGAGGTGAAGGTTTTACCGTCTAAAAAATTTTGGAGTGACCGGAACAAATAATAATCCGATGGTGCCAGGTCTGGAGAATATGGTGGGTGTAGCATTGTATCCCATTCAAGCTGTAAAAGCTTTTGGCGAGTGACCAAACTTGTGTGAGGTCTCGCGTTGTCTTGGTGAAACACTACACCTTTCCTGTTGATTAGTTCTGACCTTTTCTGTTGAAGTGCATCATTCAGTTTGTCCAGCTGATGACAGTAGACTTCCGAATTAATCGTTGTGTTATCCGGTAAAAGCTCAAAAAAAACGATTCCTTTAAAATCCCACCAAACAGACAGCATCACCTTTTTTTGGTGAATATCGGCTTTGGAAATGGTTTGAGCCGGTTCATCTTTTTTGCTCCATGACCTCTTGCGTTTGACGTTGTTGTATACAACCCATTTTTCGTCCCCAGTGATGATGCGCTTCAAAAACGGATCATTTTCGTGACGTTTGAGAAGCGAATCGCAGACGTCAATGCGGCGACACAGATTTCTCTCTGTGAGAACATGGGGAACCCATACATCGAGCTTCGAGGATAATCCCAGGCCTTTCAAGTGGTCATAAACTGTTGAATTTGATAAATTTAACCTCAATCCGATCTCACGTGTTGTTATTCGCCGGTTCACATCAACTAATGCCTTTATCGCGTCTTTATCAGCTTCAACCGGCCTTCCCGAACGTGGTGCATCTTCGAAATCAAAATTGCCGGATCGAAATTTAGCGAACCAGTTCTGGCACTGGCGTACTGTCAACACACCTTCTCCATACACATCAATCAATTTCTTTCTGGCTTGAACAGCATTTTTACCCTTTCTGTAGTAAAACAGTAAGATATGTCGAAAATGCTGCTTATCGCTCTCCATATTTAAAAGGGCACTAACCAAAAACTACTGCGTAGAATTAATTGGAATTTTTCACAGACAAGCCTTGCTGTATGGGCTCTCAAAGCATATAAAATTATACGGCTTAAATGTGAAGTTGGATCCAAAAGAATACAATTAGATCCTCTGTCGGGAAAAAACGAAATGACTTTCCGAACAACCCTATAGAAAGGCAATGAAATTGCTTCACGTCAGGTCTATTAACAGGGGTAAGTAATCATTAAACTTGACATTCAATAGGTGAAATTGAGAGTGCACACCCTTTAATAATTGAATTCCGTAATAATTTAGTTTTCTCTAACGAAATTGCATCAAATTTCATCTCGATTTTTGAATCATTAATTTAATTTCACATAATTTGATACGAGAGTCACTAAAGGTGTACAGGATATAATGAACTTCGACTTGAGACCAAGCGTAAAAGGGGATTAGCAACATCGGGGAAACCCCACTACAACGTCCGCAAGCCTCTTACTATAATTACTTGAAGTAGTCACCGAATAAAAAAAAAGAAACTGAAAAACATCTCTACGAATTCCTTATTCCATTAACGACGGATTGAGGTCGACTTGTTCCTTTCATTATTTATTGCTTCATTCCGAATGAGCGACCAAGGGTGAAGAAAGCTTAAGGGAAGTTTATATATAGGTATGTAAGTATGTCCACGTATATATATATATTTACTTCTTCCGCTTGTAACACATCATACGCTGAAAATAATTTTATATATAAATAGAGAGATGTTTCGTCGGGCCAATTATGTACAAAAAAAAATGAGAGAAATAAGCCAACTGTGATGCGAAAAGGAAAATCTTCCACATCTGAAAACGTTGATACGGGAAGTCTCAAATGAAATTAGTTGCTTCGATAACATTTTGCTCTAACATGTTTTTCAAAATTTTATTGTCATGAGAGCGATACACATATGCTTTAAGAGGTAACTCACCCATTATATTACAGAGATATTATAAAAAAATAGGTGCAACTCAGTACACCTGAAAGAAGTGAAACTTCTTTGGCCGTTTCTATACCTTTATAACGAATAAGTAATGATTGGTGAAAGAAAGAAAGAATACGACAATTTTCAGGATTTATGTTTTCCAACATATTTTATTTTTAGCCCGCCTAAGGAAGATTACTTTAATACGTTTTTATGTAATTCAATAACAAAAAAATGGTCAATTTTTTTCGCTTCCGTTTATTTTTCCAAGTGTTTAGGAAACCGTAAACTATCAATAACTACAAGGAATTAGAATTAATACATAATAATACTCACTCTTAAACAAATATTAATTGTTGTTAAATAAACATTTAGTGTAATACACTTACTGTAATATAACTGCACAGATATAACCAAAAAATTAATTTAGCACTATAGTATAGTGAATATACATTATACAATAATAAATGAGATGTTGGTCACTAACAGCTGACTGTAATACCGATATGCGCATGCGCGCCTTTCTATTCTTATAGCCTATCGCGTCGCGAGACAAAACGTTTCAAGACGTGTCGTTTCATGGCCTTGAGATATTACTCTCATCGAGCCCAAAGAAGTTTCACTTCAAACATTGATTATAACTTTGCAAAGATTGTAAATGATATACATAGGATGTTGCTATTTAAAAAAGTATCAATACATTTATCCACATTTTGTATTGGCCTTCTGTTTATCTCAGTTTGGTGCTCATTGCGCATGATTTAGG